TGTATATATATATTCATATATTTTTGATTTTTTAGGAGTTAGGAAAATTTTATTCTCGTTATTTTCCAGCCAGTCCTTTCTAAGTACAAGTTAAAAAAAATCATTTTAATGGGTGCTTGTACAGCTCTTATCACATTCTATCCATCCATTGTGTCAAGCACATTTGTACATGTTGCCATCATTTTCAAAATATTTTTCTCTCTACGTGAGCTCTTGGTATCAGCTCATTTCCCCCTCCCTCATGAACCCTTGAGAATTTGTTACTTTTTGATATTTCCCTTCACCCAGTTTTCTGTTGTCTGTCGCCCTGGGAGGGAGTTTTATATAGATCATTGTGATCGGTTCTCTCCCCACACCTTCCCCTTCCCCTCCTGGTATCACTACTCTCATTGTTGGTCCTAAGGGGTTTATCTGTCCTGGATTCTGTGTTCTGAGCTCTATCTGTAGCAGTGTACATGCTCTGGTCTAGCCGGGTTTGTAAGGTAGAACTGGGGTCATACTAGTGGAGGGAAGCATTCAAGAACCAGAGGAAAGTTGTGTTTCGTCGGTGCTATCCTGCACTGTGCCTTTCGATTTTCACCATTCTTTTCCTCCGGATCAGGGGAGACCAATAGCTGCACCTCAGTTGGCAGCTCTAGAACATCATCTTTGTGAACTGTTATACCATTGACCTTCTAGCCCAGTGGTTCTCAACCTTCCAAATGCCGCTACCCTTGAACAGTTCCTCATGTTGTGGTGACCCCCAATCATAAGATTATCTTCACTGGTACTTTGTAACTGTCATTTTGCTATTGTTATAAATCAGGTGACCCCTGTGAAAGGGTCGTTTGGCCTCCCAAGGGGGTCTGGACCCACAGGTTGAGAACCGCTGTTCTAGGCTAATTTCTTCAGCAAAGCCTTCCTCGTCCTTACCCAGCTCCCCAGTACTACTTCCTTCCACATGCCCCAAAGTCCTCTTTCCGTGTCTCTCATTAATGGACACCATCTCTTAATTGTTCATGGACAGATCTCTCTCCCACCAGATTCACAATGCCAAATACATAATGCATCCCTGTGAGGTTTTCAGCTCTGTATCCATTCCTATTTTTTAGTACCTGTTTATAACAGGTACTCAACTATTTTTTGTTTATTGAATGAATGCATGGATAACTTTATGGATTAAAAATTATTCATAGACATATTCACACCCATGTTTATTGCAACAATGTCTAGCATATAAAAAAGATGGAAACAATAAAAACCTCATCTGTAGCAGAGTGGATAAACAAACTAATACACACACAATGGAATATTGCGCATTCTTAAAAGGCAATGATGATTCTGTCAAACACCTCAGGACTTGGACAAAATTGGAGGATATAACGCTCAGCAAAGTTAGTCTCAAGTAATTTATGACATCATAACAAAAAAAAAAGTAAAATGGTTTTCAAACAAAAAGGAAAGGATTTAAAGTTGACACCGAGGCTAGGAGAGAGGTAAGGGACAAGAGGATTAGGAGGGAGGGTGTAGGAAAAGAAAAAAAAACAAAAAGGAAAAGAAGAACCACATAGATGAGGGGTTAATGCTTTGATGCAAAGGGCTCGGCAAGTACAAACAATATGTTTTCTTTGTATATGTTATATTCCCCAAATAAAATGGAAAAATTAAAAAAAAATTATTCATAATTTATTTTCACAACGCAGAGTACTAACCACTATACGATCATGGCCATTTTTATTTTCAAATCATACGAGGTTTATCTCAATAGTTTAAAATCACTATGTTTCATCTATTGGAACAACTGTTAAAAATACACAACTTATAATTAAATTAATCAATTAAATAACAATGTGTGAAATTAAAAACTTAAATTTTATTGTTTTATATTTTTAATTCATAGAATACCACTAGACACACGTAAGTAAGAAAAAGTAGAATTATGTAATTAAAACATTTCCCTCTTAAATGTTTTCTAATTCAGGAAACTACAAAAATATTAATCAAAGCCATGTTACATACTTTGCAAAAATAAACCTGACAGCCTGTCACCAACATTACAGGAAAAAGGCAGTTACAAGTTCTGGTACATTAGGAAGTTAGTTATAGGGGAGAAAAAAGATTCAAAACAATTAATTGGCATATTTGAGTATGAAAATACAACTGATACAATGGTATACATTCTCATAATTACTTCACATTTCTCTAAATGTACATTTGGCAGAAAAATTATCAGTCATTATACAATATACCAATTGCAAACACTCCCAAATTAGGAATATACAAGGTGGAGCCATTAGAAAGAAAATGTTATAATGATAGGCATAATTAAGCAAAGTTTAGGCTTTTGATTAGGAGTCCTAGTGGTGAAGTGGTTTAGTGCTTCACTGCTAACTGAAAGGTTAGCAGTTCGAACCCATCAACAGTACAGTAGGAGAAAAGCCCTGGCTGGCAATCTGTTCCTACAGTCTTGGCCTAGAAAGCCTTACGGGGGCAGTTCCCTCTGTCCTAGAGGAGAGATATGAGTCAGAATCAACTCGATGGCAATGGTCTATGGAGACCTCTGATTGCTGAAAAACACAATGCTGTTCCTACTAGGAGGGGCTCTGGTGGCATAGTGGTTATGTGTTGGGCTGTGAACCACAAAGTCAGCAGTTCAAAACTCCCAGCCGCCCGTTGGAAAAAAAGATGAAGCTTTTGACTATGGTCAAGAGTTAGTCTCAGAAACCCACAGGGGTATTTCTATTCTGCCTGATAGGGTCACCATGAATTGGAAATGACTTAATGGTGGTAAATTTAGTTTTTTGGATTATTTCTACTAGTTGGCTCTGGTATGGAAAAGTTTGAAATATGTAAAATAGAGTAATACTATTTTCCATTCTTCCATTGTTCAAGCAAATTTTTTTGACAGCTGAAAAAGTACTTGGTATTATTTGATTCAAAGCATCCATGGGTCGTACAAATGGTTAAGCACTGGGCTGCATACCAGAAGATTGGAGGTTGGACTCCAATCAGGGCACTTTGGACACAAGAAGAAAGGCCTGGCGATCTATTTCCAAAAGCGCATAGCCATTGAAAACCCATTGGAGCTCTCCTCTGAGACCCTTGGGGTCACCGAGTTCACATGGGCTGGATGACAACTGGTATTGGCAATCCCTAACTGAATACGGCATTAGTGCACGGGCACAATGCCACCTGCCAAGTGGGAGTGTACACGAAATGAGGTTATTTTATAAGACACATTGTTCCTTCTGGTGACTACGGTTTCTTGGATGGGAATCCAAGACAGCCTCATTGCAAAACTAAAGTCAAAATACAGTACATTTGTACACTGTGTTAAAATTAGGCTCCAGATCTCACCCCACCCCCCAATGAACTCAAACAAATTGCAGCTTCTTTTTGTGTTTGCTGGAGGACAAGCCCCTCCCCCAAAGATAATGATTTAAATAATCTCTACTTTGGTCACTGAATATACAATTTCCCCACACATTAATGAGATACACTGTTGATAACATAGCTTTTAGTTTTAAGCAATTATTTGGTAGTATTACTTTTTATGGCTTCTACAACATTAAATCTTAAGTATTTAAAAAGTAAACAATATATTCTTAATATGAGAAAAGGAAAAAAAAGTGTGAACATTAGCTTTGAAAATGATAAAGCCTTATACAATCTGTAAGGTAACTCAGTAACAGAGGCTTAGTAGCAGAGGTGAAGCAATAAACTCATTAAAAAAATCCAACCTTGGGCCCTTTCACAAAGTAAGTTTGTAATCATGCTTTTTTGATAAGAGGGAGTCGGGGCAGGGAGCCACAAAAAATTGTGCTGAAGTCTGTATACAACAGCACTGTATGTTTCAAAATAACCCTTCAAACAATTCATTTTTTTAAAGTCTAGGGTTTTTAAAAACAATAAATGGATCTTAAATTTTCCTCTTAAAAATACCTCAACCAATGTGATTGAATTATGGAATGGATTAGCTCCTAATAAAATGCTTTTTTTTTTTTTTAAATCAGCCAATAGATAGACTTAAATTAAAATGATCATTTGTCTAAAGATGCATGCTATATGAAAAAAAAGCTATACATTTCCAAATTAAGTTAACTATATGTGTTTAATAACATATACAATTCATAGAAAGGCTATTATGGCTTCTGGAAGTAAAAAATCTAAATAAACTTTATCAGGTAAATTAGTTGATTTCACATTACAATTCTAATCATTTTATTCCATCAGTAAATCATAAAACTTTAATAGGTTTTGGCGTATATACTTTGAATATAAATCTTGTCTGGTTCTTGTTCCAAAATCGAGACAATGTTTTATGTAGCAATTTTTTTTTATGTAGGCTTATGGTTTAAAAATATTGAGAAATATATTTAATAATTTAAAAATTATTGAGGTTATAGACACATATTCATAGAGTTGAGGACATCTACAATCTGTACCAGAGGTCATGGTTTATTTGTTTGCTATTTTATGGCTCTTAAATTAATGAGAAAATGATACTAGAAGAGCTATACTCTCTATCAGCTCTACAATTTTGATCATATTGTTTTAAGTTGAGACCATATATTACAGTTGTCTCAACAGACCCCTTGGGCCTTAACTATTTTTTCACCTCTTTTTGGCTGTTAGTCCTTCTGCGTCAGCTATTACGAGTCAGGTACATGTTAGTCAGGAAACACGTGAGCCTTCATTCCTGGTTCTCTACCCCTCACAGCCTACTGTCTCCAGAGCCCACAACACCCAGCACATGGTAACTGCTAACAACTTCCTGAACATTCTTGAATAAGCAGCAAATTATTGAGGAAGAATCAAGATTTAAAAAGACTCTGGAGCTGATAGTTATTTTTACAAAACCTCCAGATAATAATTTCAAATTCTTCTTCCTTGCGTCCTTTTCAGATTTACTTTGGTTTGTCTTTGTAAATAACAGCAAGAAAAATATGGCACAAGAATACAAAGTTAAATTGTCATAGTTAAGCTACAAGCAAGGGCACACAAAAAAATTTAGGTTTTCATTCCAGTATTGAAGAAATGGATTTTATTTATACAACTAGTAGACCCCTTTTATTTATACAACTAGTAGACCCCAGCTACTTCAGTAACTTCGGAGATATGTTATCAACAGGAAAATATCCTCCAGTATTTCAGTTTTAACTGTAATTAATTCACTTAGCTAGACAACTAAGAAGCAATCAATTTTTGGGGAATAAAAAGTATGTACATTTAATTACCCTGATACGTAGGCCAAAATATGTCTAGCAATAATGTTCTTGATTTCTATTAGTCATAAAAATAAAGGAAAAATATATTGCAAGTATTTTCTTTATAGACAATTTCAATTAGAAAACAATAGTTTGATGAAAACAATATAATAGTTCCTGTGAGTGAATATGAAGGCAAGAAAAGTATTCAGCACTTGACAGACAACACACTGTCTAATATCACTAAAGAATATCTGCCTTAAAGACACCATTGAGATTTTACACATCTGTATTTTATCTTGTGTGCAAGGAAAAGACAAAGTCAGTGGGCTGTGACCGTAAATCCTAATTAAGAGCCCCTTCGTTTAGCTTGTAAGATGTAGCCTTTTGACTTAATGATCCCTCGGCTCTTAACGATGACGGAGTAGCGCAGCAGCCACAGTGGCACCCAGTCGTGTGCTTGAATGTCTGGGATGCTTTCCTCAAGAGCTTCTTGGAAACTTGCTTCAGAAAGCAGTTCTGAAACAAAACAACACGTTACATCTGGAAACAACCGCTCTTGATTGTGTAGGTGAAACGCACATCTCATTTAAATAACCATTTAGCAGAGGTATCAGGATCAGACCTGACTTTGTTTCTAGATAGCCGTTCTGGGACTGCTCCTGTGCTCTCAGGGACATGTGGCAATGTGGGGGGGGGGCACTTCTGGCTGTCACTTGGGGGGAAGGGTGCTACCTGCATCCAGTGAGGAGAGGCCAGGGATGCCGCTGAACACCTTATGATGGGCAGGGCAGTCCTGACAACAAAACTGTACCTGGCCTCAAGTGTCAGCAGTGTTGAGATTGAGAAACCGCTTTGAACAGAACTTCTTACAAGGAATAAAGTTTTTAAAAACCTATCAAATGTGATATATGCATTGTAACATTTTAATGTAATGTATTTGATGAATTTTTAAGACCTCAATTTTTAATAAAATATTTGAAAGAAAAATACAAAACGGTATCAAAGAAATTCCTAACAAAAAACAATAGTTCTCTTATGACTCTCACTCTGCATTGCCCTTCTGGTGGCTACGCGGGGATCTCCAGATAATAGGCCTAAGCTGGTGCAGGGCAGGGATTCATTCTGTTGAACACAGGGTCGCTGGGAGCCGGAACTGACTAGTCGGCACCTGACAGCAGCAGCAACATTTTGATTTACCATTCTGATATTATCTTCCTTCTGTGAACGATGACAATCTAGTTCATTTTGTCATCAACCCTTCCTGCTCGCTCAACTGCTACATTACTAGTTAAGTAGAGACGATGATCATCTTTGTAATTCTTAATTTCCTAAAGTTATTCTGATTTCTAATCCTACCAGTTCCAAACAAAATCTCCTCATTCCCTAAGCTGCAAGCTGGGGACAATAGGGACAACAGCACCTGTCTTTCCCCTACCATCCCTCCACAGGCCAGGAGTAGCTCTCAGCTCCGCACTGCTAGAGGGACACCTACATTCTCCTTTGAAGTAATTGTGAAGGATTCAGTTTTCCTCCTCAGGCTGAGGATCCAAGAAGTGTCTAGATTATTTTGCCTCTAAATGCAGTGCCAAGTAATACTAAGATTTATTTCTTTTACAGTCATTTATTTTCCCTGGAATTTTTTTTGGGGGGGATAATGAAATTTATTTATTAATAGTTTTATTAGGGGCTCATACAACTCTTATCACAGCCCATACATACATCACTTGTGTAAAGCATATTTGTACATTCATTGCCCTCATCATTCTCACTGGAATTTTTATACCTTCCTCCCTTTCATTTTTATACTATTAGTTTTTATCAGTCTTGATTTTTCTTTAAAAATTTTTTTGGAGACGTCAGACAGTGTCAGACATGACAGAATAATAATAAATTATCAAGGGTTCGTAAGGGAGGGGTGGTGGGGAGGGAGGGGAAAAATGAGAAGCTGATACCAAGTGTTCAAGTAGAAAGAAAAGGTTTTGAGAATGATGCTGGCAACAAATGTACTTGACACAATGGATGTATGTGTAGGTATTGTGCTAAGAGCTGTATGAGCCCCCAATAAAGTGATTAAAAACATTTTTTTTCCTTTTCATCACATCTGATGTAGGCCCTTTTTAGCTTGGAGCCCGTCTTCTTAGTGCTCTCAGTATTTCTGTCCTATCTCAGTTTGGCTGAGGGTCCACTGTGTAGCAACATATTTGGGGGTATTTCGTTTCACTGTTCTATTGTGACTGGATCCAATGTTTCTGAGCCACATGGTGCATTCCCTCTGGTACTAAGCACATCTTCAAATAATGTTCTGTCTTTATGCTGAACTCACATTTGACTGATCATTTGGGTGGCGTTGAATTGTAGGTGACAGATCAACAACCTTTGCAATTTTAAGGTACTGTACAGGACTATGAAAGTCTATACACATCATATATCCCTTCTCTCTTTTCAGAGCCTATGACGCCACCCCCCCCACCCCACCCCCCCGTCTTTCCCTCTCTGCACTTTTGGGATTATTTGTTTGTTATTTATGATCTGAAGTCTCATTGTGATGCATCTAGCTTGTGCATCTCTACCAGGTGTTAGCTCCCATTCTAGAGGGTTCATGGGGAAACAACCTTGTGGCATTTATGGACCCAATGGTAGTGCTTGATGAAAAATGAGTAGAGGGAGAGAGAGAATGTGGAAAGGCCAAATTTAAATGGTCACTGTATGTGCCACTCCTACAGGTAGATGGCTCACCTGGATGCATAAACACCTTTGCTGTGGTCCACACTCTGCCACAACAGAGCCCCTGATCCTCAGGGCGACAGGGAAAACACCCAGACCACCCTATGCTTGGAAGGTAGAAATGATCACCCTCCTGACAGCTTGTGTACGGACTTCTATTGCTGCCACTGTACTGAACTCTCTTCTGACTATCATCCCACGTCACCAAAGTGAGCTTGCTGAGCAGAGAGACAGTATCTTCAATTCCTCTACCAGTATCAGCTGGCAAAACTACTCCTAGTACATGAATACACTCTCACATGTCTATAGAAAATTGATGAATTAAAAAAAGAAAATCAACCTTTCTATCAATTTTTTGATAGAAAATTTTGAAAGCTGTGCTTTACTAAATCAATAAAATCTACAGAAAAACACGGGATCTGTTGTCCCTGCTGCGTGTCCTTGAGCTGATACCAACTCATAGCCACCCTGTGACTGGGCAAACTAGCCTCAGGGGCTTCTGCACTGCAGAGGTCCAGAAGCAGCCACGGGCTCTTCCCTCAGGGCTTTGCTGTTGGCTGCCAGGCACATATCAATTGCACCACTAAGACGAATTAGGCACTCTTTCAGTTACGGCCTTTGATTTCCAAGATTCATGTGGGACAGATTGACAAACCTCACTTTGCTTTTAAAAAGAGTAACTTTCTCGTGCCCCTGAAGAACATTTGGAGAATACAGGAATGTGAGAGGAAGAACACTAGCTACCTGTAATGCCCAGCAATGACCTGCTTCCCTTGCTAGGCATTTCCTTCTTTTGTCCTCTGTATATATGTATCTCTATATCCTATCAAACTAATTACAGTTCAAGTTATGAATAGTCAATAATATTTTCCATGTAATTATATATTCTGCGAAAACACCACTTAAAATAATCCCCAAATACCCTATTTAATAAATAGCATACATTTATACACTTCCTTGTTGCTGGCCAACAAATGTAGGCTTTTCCTAATGTTTTCCCGATAAGAGTAAGTGCCTGGGCACTGGATGGTAGGACTAAAGCACGTTTTAAATAGCCAAAGGGGGCTTCAAAAATTCCGTGGAAAAATTCCAACATCTTTAATTCTATTTTTCCGCAAACTTTTTGAAGGCCCTCATCTGCTGTCGGTTATGAATGGCCGTTCTTTATACTGTTGTGTGAGTGCCGATGGCACTCCCTTCACGAGCACCAGCTGTCATTTAAGAAATCTTCCCCAGTGGCTGTCTTTTCATTGACACTTCTTTGGTGAGATCCGTATTTCTAACGAAGCTCTCCACGACCACTATGCCACCCTCCACCACTCCCCTCCGGACTCCCTCTTCTCCAGGCTGCTGGGCCCTGAAAGCCTCCCGCACACCCCTGCCTGGGAGCCTGTGAAGCTGCTGCGCCCTCTCCCGAGCCCCGTGCCCCAGATGTCTGCAGGGCTCACTCCTTCACTTCTTTTGGGCCTCTGCTGAGTGCTATCTTGGCAGAAAGGCCTCCATGCCCCGCCTGTGTACAGCAGCAACTGCTCACTGGCACTCATCTCCCCTCCCTCCACCAACTTACAACTTCTCTGTGCTGTGCACCAACACTTATCCCAGCTAACATATAGTCTATCGTTTACCCCCGAGGTCAGCACTTGTCTGACGAGGCCCAATGTCTTTGCTTATCCAGAAAGTCTGGCACATCCTGGAAGCTCCATATCTACTGAATGGCTATGGAACGGCTCTACTGTGTAAGATTATCCTGCAGTCAGAACCAACCATCCAAGGACTAAATGACAGTACAACTGGAATATGAATGGGCCCGTCTAACGCTCTTGTGGCACAGGGATTGATGCTCTTAAAGGCAGACCAAAGAGTCAGCGGTTTGAACCCACCAGTTCCATTGTGGGAGAAAGGGGAGGCAGTCTGCCTTTGCGGTTTGACCGCCTCAGAAATGCTCTGGGCAGTTCTTCTCTGGCCTAGAGTGGCTATCAGATGGAATCTACTCCACAGCAACAGATCTGAGGTGGCTTGAAGGGCCCACCTGCTCCACATGACCCACTGTGATGCCTGAACAGCACGAGTAGTAAACTATCAGTAAATGTTAGCGGCTATCATTACCATAAAGACAGGCACTTTTCTGAGCACTTTCCATGTATTAATTCACCTAATCCACGTGCTAATCTGTCTGATCCAAACCAAATTCACTGCCATCGAGTGGACTCTGACACCCAGCAACCCTATAGGACAGAGCAGAACTCTCCCTGTGGGTTTCCAAGACAGAAAATCTTCCTGGGAATAGAAAGCCTCATCTTTCTCCTGAAGAGCAGTTGCTGACCTTGTGGTTAGCAGCCCAATGTGTGTAACCCACCAGGCCCCAGGGTGATTACTCCTCTTTTTTAGGCAAAGGAGGCAGAGGTGAGGTTGCACAGCTGGTAAATGGTAGTTTTCATAAGCAGATGCAAATTTCCCTTGAAAAGTAATGTGACGATGAGTTTGTTTATCACATTGTCTAACAGACGGGCAGCCCTGATGGAACGAGGCCTACACAGAGAGAGTAGGGAAATTAAGGGAAGCTCTGAAGTCAGGGTCACCTACTCTCCAACTTCCCCCAACTGTCAACTGTCGCCACCACTTCTAGCACAAAGGTGATGGAAAATAAACCTCTTTTTGAGGACTAGGGGTAATTTTAGAATAAGGGTCATCTTCAGGTATTTAAAAACAACATTCGATTTTGGATAGTATAGTGTTTAATGTTTTACAACTCAACTGCACAAGAAATTAAAAATATGACACACAACTATTCTATTTATTAACTTCATACTTCAAACATTAATTCAACTATGTGAACTCTTTTAACACTAGAGAATTCTTAGGAGAAGAGCTGTGTGTCACCAGGGAACAAAGTGTCTGGAGATTTGTGAATGGTCCACCCAGGATCAGCCAATACATCGAATCAAAGCCGCTGGACTGAACCCAAGAAACCAGTCTGTTTCTTTCCTTACATACATACACACAATGTATTTTGCCACTGTTGTTGCTTGGTGCTGCCGAGTTGGTTCCAACTTATAGCAATCCATGTACAAAAGACAGAAACTGCCCAGGCCTGCACCGGTGTCAGAACTGGTATACTGGAGTCTAATGCTGCGGCCACAGTGCCGATCCATCTCAGAGGGGCTTCCTCTGAGGTCCCTCCCTTTCCCGATCCTGAGCCCTCCTGAAGACATGACTGAAGTACGATGCTGAAGTCTCATCACCGACTGTAAAGAGCTTTGCCCGATGTCTGATGGCTGCTAAGTGGGGTCCTGATCCAATAACTGTTCCGTCCTACGGCAGTGCTGAAGTAAGTCAAATACTTTATTTCAAAAGTTTTCATTGTTATTTTATTGTCAGTGGCTTTACACATCCAATGTTTCATCGTCTCTGGGGGCTGCAGACACTCCATCTGAGAGTGATAACATCCGCAGCAAGGAGGCTCCAGAAAGTTCGTGGAAAGTGGAATGAAAAGATGTGGAATTTTTCCATGAGCAGTTTGAAGTCCCCTTACACAGAGTACATACTTATTACTCATGGTAACAGGTGTGCACACACAAAATGGGTGTCTGTTAACTTGAAGACACCAGACACCAGAACTATCTGTACTTCTAAACCTCAGCAGACTGGATGCTCCACAACTTCCCCTTCATTTTCCCTCCACTGGCAGAAAGGCAAAAATAAAGCTTTCTGAAAATAAAGGCATGCATGTTTGTTTTGAACTATTAGGATTAGTTCCAGATATACGCACTGGACACTTAAATATTACATTTTAACAAGGAGCTTTTTCTGAGATAAAAGCTCATGGTCTATCTTGCTGAGTAAAAATAACAACCTTACCTTTTGGATCATTATGAGTCAAGAGCTGGATGTCAAATTGTTTCGCAAATGCAGTCAAGTCAGGTGGCATCACACAGCAAGAGGCAAGATTAACTTGGTTACTATTTGGTTTTACCTGGAAGTGAAAATAAAATCATGATTTGTCTCTACTGAGAGATAGTTGTACAACATTGCATATATACTAAATAGTACAGAATTATACACTTTAAAATGGTTATATTTGTTAATAAATTTCATCGGAGTTAAAAAAACCAAAAGGTCTTAATTTTAGAACGTATGAAAAAAAATCACATTTTTACATGGCCTAAAGTCGACAAAACACTTTATATGAATATATTTAAAGATGTATGCTTTTCTTTTTTTTTTAACATTTTATTAGGGGCTCATACAACTGTTATCCCAATCCATACACACATCAATTGTGTAAAGCGCATTTGTACA